TTCTCTGGTCGGTGGTTCAGGCTTTGTGAGCTTCCCTGGGCCCAGGTTAGTTTACTCTGTAGCTCTTCTACAAAGAAGTTTAATTCAAACTACATTCAGTTTTTTCTCTTGTAAATATGAATAAATTTCATTTTATTATCTACTAAATTTTGTGGAGTATAATTTGTACTTTGGCAGGCACCCTGTGTATTCTTACACTCTCTTTACTGATAAACTCTTATTTGTTCTGTGGCTACACTCAAGCTACTGCAGAGACCAAGAAATTATATTTCTGCAACACTATGTGTTCCTGATTGGGCTCACAAACTTGATAAAATCAGGATGGCAGAGGACTATCCCTGCCTCCATGTTGTGGTTTATTTGGATTGTCTACCTAGCTAGGCATTCAGGCATACTAGCCACTCAAAGAGTGTCTAGCTGAAAAGAAGAGATCCCTAACCCATCTCATTCTCCTTCAAACATGAAAGCACAGAAAATCATAATTGAGCCATCATGTTACTGGTGGCATTAAAAATATTTTATTCTTTATATTCTTCACTTGCTGGATGAAAACTCCAACTGGTTCACTACAGTGTTTATCAAAACGATTTATAGTACAACAACGATCATTACAGAGAGACCATCTCATGTGATACATCTCAGTTCACATAAATTGTTTCTTAGGGCAAAAGTCCTAGCTCTTAATGCCTTGTCACACTAGGCTTCCCCTAGCCTCCCAATATGTCAATGAAAGAAACAATTAGTGGGGAAATGCAGAGAGAAATTTTCTCAATGTGACATATTGGGAAGAAGAAGATATAAAAAGGTTGAGACAAGAGCTATAGCTTTAAATACAATAAGAACTGAAGCAGAGGACAGTTCTGGTCTGAAAGGTAGTCTAGTGAACTATTGTTATTATCATTCATAAGATGAACATAAGATGAGCATTTATGGGGCAGTGTGTAGTCTTGAGACAGAAGTTGGATTGCTGATTAATGACAGAAGCTATTGTTAGGTCATAAGCTAGTCTTGAGAAACAGCTTCCAAAATGAGTAAAAGCATCTGGGAAAGGGCACATGAGAAAGACTACATTATGTAACCACTTACCCTTCTGGACATGATCAAACCTTTGCTTGGCCATTTGGGCATGTAAAGTAGACACGGTCTAAATACTGCTTTATCACATCATGCACTCAGAGAATGATCAGTACCAGCAAAGATCACACTCATTGTCTACTGTGCTGGCTAGTTTGATACTAACTTGACCCAAGTTAGAGTAGTTAGAGAAGAGGGAGCCTCAACTGAGAAATTGTCTCCATAACGTTCTGCTGTAGGGAAGGCATTTTCTCATTTAGTGATTGGTGTCGAGGGCCCAGTCCATTGTGACTGATACTGAGCAAGCTATGAGAAACAAGTTAGTAAGCATCACTCCCCCAGGGCCTCTACACCAGCTACTGCCTCCAGGTTTCTGTCCTGTTTTCCGCCCTTGCTTCCTTCAATGATAGATTCTGATGTGGAAGTATAATTCAAATAAACCCTTTCCTTTCCAACTTCCTTTTAGCCCTGGTACCTCATCATAACAACAACAACAAAAAAAACAACAAAACAAACAAACAAACAAAAAACAATGATAACCCTCACTAAAACATATTTCCTTTCAGAAATCTCATAAAAGGCCCTAAATTAAGCAGTACAGTGGTATTCCTCTCAGAACTCCTGCTACTCTCTAAAAGTATTTCTGACATTTCATAAGACAAAACAAAACAACAACAACAAAAACCTGTAGTCACTCTTCTCATTGATTTTCCTTTTCAGTCATGAAAAAAATAATTTGGAAGTCCCTAAATTAGGTGGCTTTGATGACTATTGGTCCTCTACCATCCTAGTGGCTTACATTCAGCTCACTGAGAGCCTAGAAAGTTCCTGCTTCTCTGAGGAAATCACCTCATCATTTGGGTATGGTCTGCCATGTGATACATTGCACTTTATACAATCTAAAGGAACACAAGAATTAAGACAACTATTCTTATTTTTATGTCTTCATCTTTGACCATGAATAAATAAGTTAGCTATTCTTGGTTTTGAGACAGACTCTTGAGGTTTTTTCGTTTTTGTTTTTGTTTTCTGTTTTTTATGCTTAAGCAGAACTGGGAATCTGACCTAAGAAAAAAGGAAATATACAGGCTTTTGCCTTGTTTTTGGTAAGTTTGTAGGTCCAAATAATGAGCAATGATTTTTAGCAAAAGTCTCGAATTGTCAGTTCTATGGGACAAGATGAAGATATAGAAAAGATAGAATAATATGGGTGTCCTTCTCTTCTCAGAACATGGACTAACAGCAAAGAGCTGAACAGTTCCAAGTCTATAAACAAAATCAGAAAGATAAATTCCAGTGCCTTTCACAGTTAAGTCCATGTGTGTTTGTATATCATTGCCCCCTGTAGAACATGCAAACTTGCTGTGTTTTTTAACAGCTGTTACTCCAATCACTTAGATTATTTCTATCACATGATGACTTCACTAAAACATGGCATAAAAGAGAATCTAAGAACGATGCTCATTCTCATGACTGTTTCTCAGAAACAAAATGTGCCCTTTCAGGCATATATTGATGATAAACCACTTTACTAATGAAGACTCATAAATAATACTTCACTGTAGATGTGGATCAAGAATGATCAAAGATTCAACATAATTCTGAGAAAATTGAGATACAAAAACCTCTCATTGCTTCACACATTTATTTCGATTAGTTATAAGAAATATATATTTACTCTGCAAATCGTTTCTATATTTATGTTTCTTTAAGCCAAGGTGACTGGTCCTAACAAATCACCAAACTTAGCTCTCAGAACCCTCCCTCAAGTATATTCTCTGTGTACATTGCCACATCAGTGTTTGTTACAGGTTAATACAATGCATTGTATATTTTCTGTCTCTAGTTTTCATTGTGCTTTTTTTTTTATTTTGGTAATACCTGAAATACAAAACAAAGCATGTCCCTTTATTCAATTTTCCCTTCAGTCAATTCTGTCAAACTGAGACAAGAAGAAAAAATTTTAACATGTTTTGATAGATCTCTTCAGAGTGGATCTGACACCTGTCTAATTATAAAACATCAAGATGCAACAAAGTCTGTAAGCAGACAGTCATCCTATCTGCCTATCTGTTCTTGACAGCCTTCTCCTGCACATCCTATCATACTAAACATAAAGGAAAAAAAAAACCCTTAAAAATATGACCTCACTCTTCTGACCTTTGGGAAAAAAAAATATGGAAAGTGCACTGTGGCTTTTAAATATTGTATGGCAAAGAACGTCATCAGGTCTTTCTTATCTAGAGACAATAATGTTAATGATTCATGCTTTCCAAACAAACAAAAAGAAATATGCTAGGGGCACGCGTAGAAGGAGGAGGGGAGAGATTGGGAGGGGAGGAGGGAGCTACAGAGAGGATACAAAGTGAAAAAAGTGTAATTAATTAAAAAAAATTAAAAAGTTGATAAAAATATAAAAAATAAAGTGCCACACTTACTGTTTTTCTTCCAATAAAATAAAATAAGAATAAATATGCAATGGTTCATTCTTTACAGTTTTGTGGCTATGTTAAAATGCTACAAGCAAAAGCAACTTTTATGCTGGCTTATGATCCTAGACAGAGAATCATAATAGCAGGGTAAGCTTAATAGCAGGGCAAGCGTGCTGGTTGGTCTCTAGAAGGAAGCCAAGAGATCACCTTTCAACTGAACACAGTGGGGCAAGGCTACAAACTACCAAAAAGTCAGTTGACACACTTGCTACAGGAAAGCTCCACATCTTAAGGTCCTCAAACTCCCAAAGACTCCAAGCCAATATATTCCAGAGATTCTTCCATATCAATACTTCCATATCAATATATCATTTTTAATAATATCTAAGTTATAGAACCATCTGACCATACCTTAATGGGAGAATAAATATGGAAAATCTGAGCTATATATCCAATGAAAATTAAAGAAAATTAAAGTTATATAATTTTCAAGAATTTGGATGCAATAAAGATAATCATTTAAATTAAACTAAATCAGTCTCAGAAAGACTGTATGTTTTCTCTTAATTGTGGGGTCTAGATTCCATATAGATACACCAAAATGCATATGTATAGATGGCATGATAGTGGAAATAAAATTGTCTAGAGGAAGAAAGAAGAGTAATGTAAGAAAGAGTAGATCCTCCTCTATCATTGGACTTGAAAAGGAGTAGAGAGAAGATGAAGGATGGAGGGTGGTATTGGGAGGGAATGAGGGAGCAGGATACAGCTAGGATATAATGTAAATAAACTGTAACTAATATTAAAAAATAAAATTTAATTAAAAAAGAAGAAAGAGTAGAGTAGAGGGATATGCAAGATATACACAAAGTACCTTATTTGGAATAAAATGACTCTTTTAGCACTGAATAACAAAATAAAATAAAATTTAAAAATGAAATTCTTTGGAAAATAAAAAGAATTGTCATTTGCTTTGAAATATTAAGACCTTACTTGAGTAACTTTTCTCAAGTTCATGAATGTTGTAGTCATTTTTGAACCAGTCTTGTTTTCAGCAAACATCTGGGGTTTCAATCATTTCTTATTGGTCGAATAGTTTCAAAGCCAACAATTTTTCTATGTTTGCTTTCCTTGCTTTTTAATTTTAAAGATATATAATCAAATAAACCTAACATGAAAGCTGAACTTAGCAATTAGAGTGCTTATGAGGGTAATAAGGCCTGCTTTTTCATGAGGGTGAGGTACAGCTGAATGCTTTGTGTGTTTTAGTTTATGCTGAATGCTCAAATAGTCTTCAAAATAGGATACAGTTTTCTTCATGCCTGCTCAAATTTCCCGAGGGCTAAAGGCAACCATCTACTTCGGAGAGAAATATTTTCTGCAATCTTAATGCTTATATATGTTTTTCTATGTATGCTTTTAAAATAATCATTTTTAATTTTTTAAAAAATATTTTACTTAGAAATCTTTCAAGGGGTAAGATTAAAATTCAGTGTGCTCACTTCGGCAGCACGAATACTAAAACTGGAACAATACAGAAAATATTAGCATGGCCCATGTGCAAGGAATAGCTTTGCAATTTAAAACATTACTTGATTTTTTTTATTTGACTAGGATATTTGACACACAAAATAATTTTGTTATGAGATTTTACATATCACATTTTAAATATATTGCGAGATGTTCAATAAACTAACCCAAACTTATTGAAATAAGTACTTGTGCCTTTGGCATGCCATCTATGGCAGATTCTGTCTTCAACATATTTAACCTTACAAAAGGTTCCATATTTCAAAGTCATTATAGCCTAAAACTATGGCAATTTGGTTTACCAATGTGAACATGTGAAAAGTCAGTTTAATAATGTGTATAATAGTGAAGTGTTTTAAAATCATGTCAGAGATGTGCATCATTAACTAAGCTATGCTGCTTCATTTCTAATCCTGTCCTTTATGTCTTTCTCCATGATGCAGTACTAAGACTTCATGGATACAGTTCTCCTTGGTTAGCTCATTTCTTGTTTTCTGCAAAAATTAAATGCAAGATTCAGAGTTCATGCAGTGAGGAAGTAAGTGTTCTTTGAATCTCCTAGTCTTTCGTTGTGTTGTAGTAGCTGTTCCCTAAGCAGACCTGGGACTGAGTTTCCTGATCCTGTGCATATTGATAAAGCTCTACTTACTTTGGCTGCTGGGTATAGCAAGGTACCCGATCACCTGGAAATATCTACAAAATGTTTGTTTAGTTGACCTAAATGTTATTTTAAAAAGGCTAAAATCCTACAAGAATCTAAAAGAGTCCCCAAAGAAAGAAGTACTGGGAGTGAAGCGTTAGAGTGCATTTATCATGTGTGGCCTACATCACACCCTCCATTGCATCCCTAATAGGGCCAAGAAGACAATCCATCCACTAAGACATTGACAAATGCAGTGGGGAAGGGATGGCCAGAATACTCGAATGTGTCTGCAGCGGATCTTTACTGGAGGCTGGGTGTGAATATGTGTTTGTGGTGTCTTTCTTATGGGCTGTGTGTGAATACAGGATATGCTCCTGTTGAGATCGCTTCACCAAGTTAACCAGAATGACATGATCTTTGGGAGGTGAAGTTCAGGTGTCAGGACTTAATCATCACTGACAAGGCATTACGTTTCATAATGGGCACCAGGCATGCAGACTCTCAGGAAATCTAATTCATGCAGACTCTTACACTGTTTTATTGTGTATGCTGTCCTTAAATTAAGCCAAACAGACATTCTGCCAGAAATTACCTTGCTCCCATAAAGGAAACAACTTCATTTCCAGTGGATAGAAACTCAACTGGGACTTCTACTGAGTGCTAAATTTATTGGAAATCACATTTCCATTCTTGTGTTATAGCACAGCTGTATCTAATATAACTCTTATTTTTTCCATTAATTAATTAATTTATTTATTTTACAATGCTCCCACAACAATCTCTGAGCTCTGGTCTGTGTTCCCTTTATTGTTTCTATGGACACAAAAGATTACTTTTTAATCGTCATCAGGCGTCATATGGACACAAAAGACTATGTTTTTATTATCTTTGTCTGATAGTAATTTTCTCTTTATCTCTGTCAATAATGGTTTCTCTCTGTGTAGCCCTGGCTGTGCTGGACTCACTTTGTAGATCAGGCTGGCATCTAACTCATAGAGATCTGCTTGCTTCTGCCTCGTGAATTCTGGGATTACAGGTGCAAGCCCCTAAGCCTGGTCTGATGGTAGTTATTAAGGAAGAATCATAACACGCAATCTAAGTCAAACCATTCGTGTACTCTGATTTTCAGGTATTGAATTTTGGCTCACTCTGACAAGTGAAAGTCTATAATCACTAATTCTATCGTGTTAGAATTGTAGAATTTATATAGTCTACTTCCCTTCTTAGTCATGTCTGACTCCTATTTTTCCTTTCCTCTAATGCCCCCAATTATCTTGTGTAAATATTATCATTGATGATTCACTTTACAACTTAACCTTGCACTGAAGAAAATTACAGTGAGACTGGAATTCAAATTTAAAAGTAATTAACATTAACTTCAAACTGGGTATCATGACTATTGAAACACAGTTTCCCTGTTATGGGAATAGATTTGTGTTAGTCCCTGACAATGAGTATTTTATGAAGACAGCAGGTTATTTAGCTCACAGTTTTAGAAGTTGTTCAAAATTGGTGCCTAGCTGCCACCTGCTAGGTATATACCAAAGTCTTTTCTGACTAGAGCATAGCATGATGAGGTACAAGGAACAAACTTACATGTGAAATTCAACACAGCAACCTATATTAGTGACAACTCACACTTAAACACACATATTCATCAGTGACAAGAGAAAGCCTTCATGCTACAATCAACTTATAGTCAATCTACCACTTAAAACTTGCCACCATCTCAAATAACCATGCTGGCAATTTTCTAGCCTGTGAATTTCTCAGGTACAAAAACTTTCAAACTCCAGCAAAAATGATAAAAGTATATACAATGTTTCTGCCACTGAATGGAAGCCAACAGCTTATGTAACTAACTCGTTATTATCATCCTGTGAAGGTACATGCTAATCCTTCTTATTTCTCTACCAAATAATTCTACCAGGAGAGGGCTCAGAGAGAATCCTGGGAGAAAAGAGAGGCACAGGGAAAGTGCCACTTGTTTTAGTGGTTTTACTTCTTCACAGGTGAGTTCAGTGAGTGTTTTTCACACCACAGGTGTGGTGAGTTCTGGCCTGGGCTTCACCTAGAATCTCAGACCTAGCCTCAGCTAGGGAAACTGGCAACAATGAGGGGGAGCAAGATATCACAAGTTTACTCTGCTCTTCAGGACATTTTATGTCAGAACTTTGAAAAAGGAAACTGTATATTTGGCTCAGGAGTTAAGAGCCCTGGCAACTCTTCCAGAGGACCCAGATCTAGCTCTCATCCACACATCTGCTCACAAAAATCTACAACCTGAATTACAGAGGATTCTACCTCTTGTGGCCTCCATGGTCACCAGGAACATCACATAGTGCTGAGAATAAGGTGAAGGTAAAACACCCATTCACAGAAAATGAAAGAGAATGCTGACAATTTGTAAAGGAATATTCAACAAGAGTAACATAAATTTGCCTGAGGTTTCATGAATGTGATCCTCTTCCTTAGTATCCATCCTTTGTCCTAAAACTAAGCAGGAACAAAGAAAGGCATCTTCTGACTTCCTCCCTCTCCTTTATATTAACTGCCCTTTTTTCTGCCCAAGTAAAAACAGACATAACTCAGAAAGGCAAACAGGATGGACATCAGAAGAGGGAGAAAACAGGAAACACGACAGGAGCCTACCACAAAGGGCCTCTGAAAAACTCTACACAGCAGGGTATGAAAGCAGATGCTGAGACTCATAGCCAACTTTGGGCAGAGTACAGGGAATATTATGAAAGAAGGGGGAGACAGAAAGACCTGGAGGGGACAGGAGCTCCACAAGGAGAGGAACAGAACCAAAAAATCTGGGTACAGGGGTCTTTTCTGAGACTGATCCTCCAAACAAGGACCACTCATGGAGATGTCCTCAATCCCCTGAACAGATATAGCCCATGGCAGCTCACCCTCCAAGTGGGTTACCTAGTAATGGGAACAGGGACTATGTCTGACATGAACTCAGTGGTTGGCTCTTTGATCACCTCCCCCTGATGGGGGAGAAACCTTACCAGGCCACACAGGAAGACAATGCAGCCAGTCCTGATGAGACCTAATAGGCTAGGTTCAGATGGTGGGGAGGAGGGCATAGGAGAGGGGCATAGGAGGAGATGAGGGAGGGAGAGTGGGATTGAGATGAGATGAGGGAAGGGGCTACAGCTGGGATACAAAGTGAGTAAATTGTAATTAATAAAAAAAAAACAGACACAATTACATTAATAACCTTTGGTAACCAGCCTCCAAACTGTTCCCAGGTGATGCTGTAAGAGAAGGAAGGAATGCATGGCATGCTTGATCAGTGATATCCTATTGCTTCTGAGAACTTGTAGCTTCTTCATCGTTTTCTGTGTGTTCCTTCCTTCTGGGATGGTCTCAGGCCTCAAAACCTTAAACAACTAGAAATGGAGGCCTTTTGCCAACAGTTAAAATAATAAACTCCCAGTCAAGCTCTAGATAGCTTTACCTGCAGCAAACACCCTTACTTAAAATAGTCACCAGCTAAACTGTGAATTCTACAGAAATATTTTAAGGTGCTAATTGTTGGCCTGTGTATATATTAAAGCCTGGCCAATAAATTAGATAGGATTACAGTAGATGGAGTTTGAGAATGCAAGATGATGATCTTCATTTAAATCACTGTTGCCCTGATAATAAGGTTCACAAAGAAGAATCTTTTAGTAATATTCTTATTAACCTCAACTATGTTATTAAAAGCACTAAGCATTCATTATGCCTAGGTTTATGAAATTAATAGCAAGAGCTTATTTCTTTTTAGTCAAGCAATGAAAATGAAGGTGAATTTAAAAAAAACTGAATATATTTAGAATTAAAAAAGGCATCCAGGAACGTTTGTTACCCTAGGACTTGATGTCTATTTCATACTGAATTACATTTTTGTTGCTGTTGTTTTAGCCTATGAATTGCTAAGAATCTTAGAGTTAGCCAGGGCAGAGTAGAGCTGTCCAATCTGGCAGTGAATGTGAAGCAGGAATACTTCTTCCCAGATCAAGGCAAACATAAGCAACAAGGTGAGGGCACATCTCCAAAAATTAAGCTAAACTAATTAACTCTGTGTTAATACCATTTCTTTATTTAAATTTTAAACAACTCTCCTTCCCCCCCATCTCCTAGGTCCTGTGTTTTAAAAATTTCTGCAAATATTTAAGCTCATATTCAAGAGATGCCTGAACTTTACTTGTTATTTTTTAAAATGCTCTGTGCATTGTGAGTAACTTCAGCATATTCTCTTCTCCCAGCTTAAGTATTTTAGTTTGCAATTCAGAAGGCTCAGATTTACATAATTGCTTTCCTTGTCTTTGTTAAAAGTGCACCAGCTTTGCCCATTGAGCTGTAGCATTTTACTAAAATTTACTGGCACTCTTCGCTTGGTCTTATACCAAGACCAAGGCATCAGACACAGTG